ACCAGGAACCGGAAGCGAATGGCTCTGCACACGTGGGGTCACCAGGAACCGGAAGCGAATGGCTCTGCACACGTGGGGTCACCAGGAACCGGAAGTGAATGGCTCTGCACACGTGGGGTTGCGGGATCGAGAACTGAATGGCTCGACGGAACTGACAGTGACAACAGTGTGCACGTGTGAAATGTGTACGCTGACTCGGCAACATTGAAATACTGGCCTGGGAGCTGGGCTAGGCCTCACGCCTCATTTCCTGTATGCTTACTGTTAGAATTAATGTAGTGTCTGTCTTGCTGGAGAAGTCTGCACCAGGACTTGGACTTCACGTGGTGTCGCATCTATAAAGGTAAGAGAGGAGGGACTGCAGGTAGCAAACTCACAGGTGACCGTTCCCTGTCGTGGGTGAAGGTGCACAGAGCATCTTGTCAGGGTGAGGGTCCACCATGGTCTTGGTGCTAAAGGGCAGTGTGGAAAACCCAGAGAGGCAGACATGCCCCCAGGTGTGTGTGGGGCACTGGGATGGCAGGATTGGTCTTCTTGAGACCACTGGAGAGTTTTCACATCGCCCCATGAAGGACACATGCATCTGGGTGGAAACACTGAGATTTTACTTGTCTTTTCCTCAGTTTCTGGAAGGAAAGGTTATCTTCCAGGGCTGAGGTGAGCTGTGCACTTATCCTCGGGTTTCAGACGTCTGTGACCCTTGGAAGTGGAAGGAGACGGATTATTCCTGGAGACCTGCTCCAAGTTGCTACACCTATTGAAGACGTCTTGGGAAGTGCCGGGTTTGTTAACCAGGTCGTGTTGTAAGGTTGGGCAGGTGAGGAACAGGCAGATCAGGTCGTGTTGAGTGCCTCCTCAGCCCCCTTTGTAACGTAGGGAACATGGGAGCGGCCTTTCTGTTCCTGGGGCCGGTGGGACTGAGCAGGCAGAAAACAGACTGAGACCTGAAACACTTTATATGCGTGGTCTCCTTCATTCTGCGACGCTTTAGATGGTGAATGCCGGCCACTCAAGTTCACAGCACTGGCCCACGGCACGCTCTGCAGGCATTGCTCTGTTCTGTTTGACATGTGAGCCACAAACCTCGTGTGGCCCTTGAGTACCTGAAATATGGCCAGCGTGACCAAGGAACTGAGTTTTTATTTAGTTTTAAGTTTTCAACGTTTTAAGATGCTTAGGTAGTGCAAAAGGAGCTCTGGTGGTGCGGTGGCTAGAACACTCAGCTGCTAACCAAAAAGTCTGGTTTGAACCCCCCAGCTGCTCCACAGGAGAAAGAGGAGGCCGACTGCTTCTGTAAAGATCCATAGCCTTGGAAACGCTGTGGCGCAGTTCTGCGTTGTCTGTGGAGTCGCCGTGCATCAGAGTCGGCTCGATGGCAGTGATGTGAACTGTTCACGCTTGCCTGCTAACCTAATGGTTGACAGCTCAAATCCCCCGGTGCTACCACAGAAGAAAGGCCTGGTGATTTGCGTCTATGAAGATGACGCTCAGAAAACCCCATGAGGCGGTTCCACTCTGTCACACCAGGCAGCCAGTAGGCAGTTGACTCAATGCTAACAACAAACTGCGAATGGTTAAATAGCCTCCTGTGGCTGTGGCCATGGGCCAGGTGACGTGGCTGTGGGCTGCGGGCCAGGCGACGTGGCCAGGGCTGTGGACCAGGTGATGTGGCCCTGGGCTGTGGACCAGGCGATGTGGCCCTGGGCTGCAGACTATGCGACGTGGCCGTGGGCTGCAGACTAGGCGATGTGGCCTTGGGCTACGGGACAGGTCATGTGGCTGTGGACCAGGTGACATGGCCGTGGGCTGGGGACCAGGCGACGTGGCCGTGGGCTGGGGACCAGGCGACGTGGCCGTGGGCTGGGGACCAGGTGATATAGTAGCCGTGGGCTAGGGACCAGGCAATGTGGCCGTGGGCTGTGGACCAGGTGATGTAGCCGTGGGCTAGGTAACAGACGATGTGGCTGTGGGCTGCGGACCTGGCGATGTAGCCATGGTCTGTGGACTAGGTGACTTGGCCGTGGGCTGCGGACTAGGCGACGTGGCCATGGGCTGCGGGCCAGGCGACATGACCATGGGCTGTGGACCAGGCGATGTGGCTGTGGGCTGTGGACTAGGTGACGTGGCCACGGGCTAGGGAGCAGACAACGTGGCCATGGTCTACGGGCCAGGCGACATGGCTGTGGGCTGCAGACCAGGCGACGTGGCTGTGGGCTGTGGACCAGGTGGTGCTATGCTGATGAAGTGGAGATTTCTGCACACCTGGTGGTGTTGTCTCAGGAAGCAGGCCCACGGCTAAGCTGAGGTGCCTTCGCCACGTGGAGAACAAAAGCCATCCCTGGGAGCTGACCATTTTTCTGTTGTGGGACAACGCTTTCCACTTTCTGAGGGCTGACCAAAGAGAACTGTCTCCAGACACGGCTTGAGACCCAGGGCAGATTCACACACAGTCTGCAGGGCACACCAGCAGCAGTGAGGACAGGGTCTCCATCCCACCTGATTCCAGGCAGCCATCTGGGAGCCACTGTTTCCTGTGTTTTCCCTAAGAGGGTCTTTGTGGGTGCATATGGACAGGCCGACTTGAACCTAGATTTCTCATATTTTTCATGGTCTCCAGCAGGCCTGCATGGCTTTCCTCCTTCCTCGGGGCAGGCCCATGCCGTAAAGCCGAGGAATCTGGGCCCTGAGCCCGTCTGCCCTCCCTGGATGTCCCCGGAAGCAGATGCTGCAGGGAAAGCGCCTGGTGATGTCATTAGGAAAGCCTTGGAGCGGTAGCCGGCACTTGGCGGGCTTTAGCTTCCGGAAGCATGTCTGTGGTTATTGTAGTATGTGCGCCTTTGTAAGATTGTCCTCAAGTTTGAGGCTTCCTCATAATTTTTGGTCTTGCGGACACTTGAACAGCGAACACTGGTTACCGTGGGGATTTGCGAGGAGTTCCCTCCCACTCCTGCTGAGAGGAAGGGACTGGGAACGGTAGGAGCACTGGTTAGGCCGCAGAAATGGTTTCTCTGTGACCCTGAACTCTTCTCCTTGGAGCCCAGAGTCCTGGGTCCCGGGGGCAGGATTGCCATGTTCCCCAGGGAGTGTATCAGCTTCCCCTTGAGCAGTTTCAAGGGTTCAGCGTGGTGCTCTGAGCTCACGAGGCCACTCCCAGCACAGCAGGCTTCCGTGGAGTTAGGTCAGAGTAAGACGTTTTAAGATTATGAAGATTATTAGGTGCTCAGTGATCTGTGTCCTAAGGTACCGTCACTCTTCACCAACTGACACAGTTTGGTTCCAAAGACCAGGTCATTGGGCACAAGTAGGCATTAGGCGGAAACAGGACGGCCACATTAGATCACAAAACGGAGGATGACGGCGTCTTGGTGTGGGTGCCGGGTCACACGTTACGTGGACCCACTGAGAGTCACGGCCAACAAGCTGCTGCATAGCCTTCACCACCACAGGCAGCATGACCCCTCCTTGCCCCTCGGCATTCGTCACCACCAGGCATACCTCGTTAATGCGCAGACTCGGACAGTAGGTTTTTGCTGTTGTTGTAAATGCGGGATGTCAGCTGGAGAGGGAGCACGGAGGAGGAGACAGTGAACCAGTAAAGTGGGGGGTTCACTGAAACAAGGGGACAAGACGGCTGACCCAACACCCACACAGTGGGCTTCTGTGTGCCAGTCACGGGGATGACGCAGGGCCACACGGCGGTCCTGGACACGGGAGGTCCCCTGAGTCAGGCCCAGCAGCCGCACAGTGGGCTCCTGCGTGCCAGTCACGGGGATGCCCAGGGCCTCGGGGCACGTCCTCCTGGATATAGAAGGTCCCTGAGTCGGACTCGGTGGGACCAAGGATAACCGTGATCTGAGGCCTCGTGTCTAGAAGAAGATGAACTTGTATATACGCATGTTCTCTTGAATTTGAGTGAGGGGCCCTAGGGGCACAGTGGTTAAAGCATTTGGCTACTAACCAAAAGGTCAGCGGTTTGAACCCACCAGTTGCTCTGTGGAAGAGAGATGAGGCAGTGGGCTTCTGTGAAGACTGACAGCCTTGGAGACCCTGTGGGCAGTTCCACTCTGTCCTCTAGGGGCGCTGTGGGTCAGAATGGACTCCAGGCAGTGGGTGTGGTTTGGGCTTTGCTTCTGTGAAGACTGACAGCCATGGAGACCCTGTGGGCAGTTCCACTCTGTCCTCTAGGGGTGCTGTGGGTCGGAATCTAATCCAGGGAAGTGGGTGTGGTTTGAGTTCTCCTTGTTTGTATGAAGAGATGTGAAGAGTTGCTTGAACCGAGTCCTCATCTGGAGAGTCTGGTGCTTAGTGACCTGTGTGTCTGTTGAACAGCAGTGTCCCTGCACAGGGGAGGAAGCCCCCCGACCCTGCAGTGGGGCCCGTACATCGCACTGTCCCCTCGTTGTCTGTTTTACACGGCTCTAAACTCCTCTTTCTCTCCACCAGCCTGTTGTGAGGTGTTGGCAGGTCAGGTTGGGAGCCTGTCATCACTGAGCCACCTCACTGGGCACGCAGGGTCCCAGGGCTGCCCCGCTAACGCCCTGGGTTGGGCTGTGGTGTGGGCAGCTGGGCGGTGGCTCTGCCGGGGTCCCTGGAGCAGATCACTGCAGGCCGCTTTCTCTCAAAGGAGCTGACGGCAGTGCAGCAGCTTCCGGAAATGGTCCTGGGGCCGCCCCCACCGGCCCTGCGGGGGGCTCGCGCCCGTCCTCCCGGAACCTAGGCTCTGCGGGCGGTGAGAAAGAGGAGGGCAAGAAGGTGCGGCGGCAGTGGGAGTCCTGGAGCACGGAGGACAAGAACACCTTCTTCGAGGGGCTGTACGAGGTGAGTGGGCGTGGGCTCTGCTGGCCGCGCCGGCCGCTTGGGCTGTTCTCTCTCGGAGGCCCTGGCAGGGGCCCTGCCTGGGCACGTCCTCTCCCCACTTTCGTCCTTCGTGATTCTTCCGTGCGTGTGCTCTCGGGGTGCTGTATGTTCTGTTTCAGCCTGTGGGCCGTAACCCTTCGGTATCTTACTCAGTGTTGCCCACACTGCCCCGACCTGGCCACGGGGGGCCGCTTTGCATTGGCTCCTCTGGGTCCTGCCCCCTGTCGGGCAGCCCAGCCTCCCTCGCTCTTCCCCTGCACCGGCCCCGGCACCAGCCGTTGCTCCGAGGACCCTGGCTCCTCTTGGGCCGTGGTGCTAGAGCCCAAGCTGTGGTCTCCGGTCTGCCTGCTGCTCTTGGGGGTCACTGCCACTTGGCCCGTCTGGTGACTGTGCACAGGCTCAGCTTTAGCACTGTGGCCACACAGCTGGTTCTCTGCACAGCAGTCCTTGGAACAGGAGTGACCAAGGGCACACGAGCACGCTCCCAGAGACCCCTCCACCTTTGCCGGGGGTGTCAAGGGGAGAGTGGGCCCCAAGGCTGCGGGAGTGTGTGTCTCCAGCTGTGTCAGGGCCGGTACTGTCCCCGTCAGCACGTGGACCCGTTCTGCATCATCAGGGCCGGGAGAGAGGTGCTGAGTAGTCAGTCTGTCCATTTACCTGAAGATGCCAGACCGGTGCCCCCTTGGGCCCAGTGCCGTGTCCTCCGGTCCTGCAGTCGTGTCGTTTTGGGGAGGCAGCTCATGCTGGGATCCTGTCGATCACCGAGGGGAAGCCACTCGGCCAGACCGTCTGCTGCCCGTCAGCTGCCCGTTAGCTGTTCGTCTCTCCCCTCCTCCAGCCTCTCTGGAGGCAGCATGTGTTGCTCTTGTTCTGTCCCCAAGTTTCTGCTGCTGCTCTGTCCCCCGTCCTGATGAGAGCCTCAGACTGGTGGCTCACACACGGAGAGGGTGCTGAGGGCCGTTTGCTTGTCCCCAGCCGGTCCTCGCCCCTTCTCTTTCCTCGGGCTGTTGGCGTCCCCCGCGAGACTGTGCTGTGTCAGCCCCGCACCTGTAACATGTCTTGCAGCACGGGAAGGACTTCGAGGCCATCCAGAACAACATCGCCCTCAAGTACAGGAAGAAGGGCAAGGCTGCGAGCATGGTGAAGAACAAGGAACAGGTCCGCCACTTCTACTACCGCACCTGGCACAAGATCACCAAGTACATCGACTTCGACAACGGTGAGTGGGCGCCGCCGGGCCTGAGCGCGGACACCCCCACCCGTTGGCCAGCCCCAGCTTGGACTTCACTCCTGTTGATGCTCTCTCGTGGGGGGTGATGTTGGCCGCATGTACTTGTCTGGAGGCCACTCCTTAGCTCTGATTGGCCTGCTGCGTGTGTGTCGGTGGCTCTGAGCACCTGTGGGCTCTGGGTCCCCGACTCACAGCCTGTGTGCCTGCTGCAAGGGTCCCGTTGTGGGCATGGTGGCCAGAGCTGGGCTTCCTGTGGTGGGTGCCGGCAGCACCTGGCAGCGTGTCTGCTGTGGGCCTGCTCTCTCGGGTACGGGCCAGCTCTGCGGAAGCTCAGCCCCCCATGCTCGGGTCCCGATGTGCACAGTCCCCTGTGGTCCATGTAACTGGCTCATCACCAAGGCCCCTCTGCCCGTGTGCTGGTGATGTTCTCGGTCACCAGGGGTTGGGAGTGGCTCTACCCTCAGTCACCCATCGTGTGGATAGACCATGTTTTGTTTGTCAGTCAGATTGTGGGTGTGAAGCTTTTCTAGTCGTGGTCTCCTCTGAGAACGGATGGGATCGGAGAGTTTTCTTCTTGGAAGAACCTTCCAGAACAGCAGGCGTGTGGAGTTGGTGATCACGGATTCCTCAAAACCCTCGTTCTGGGTCATGTCTTGGAGGCTTGGTTCTCTGTCCACTGACGGGTTCTTTTCCTTTCCTGCTTTCACACACACGTGCACACGCAGCAAACATGAGAGCTCTGAAACACGTGGCTGAGGGACAACCGAGGAGGGCAGGTGTGAGCGGAAGGGACTGTGACCCTGTCACGGCCCCGAGAGACGGAGCAGAAGCTCCAGGTCAGTGATGTCAGGACAGCGACCCTGGCGTAGCCCCGAGAGAAGGCGTGGAGGCTTCTGGTCGGTGATGTCGGGACAGTGACCCTGTCCCTGCTCTGAGAGACGGGGTGGAGGCTTCTGGTCGGTGATGTCGGGACAGTGACCCTGTCCCTGCCCTGAGAGACGGGGTGGAGGCTTCTGGTCGGTGATGTCGGGACAGTGACCCTGTCCCTGCCCTGAGAGACGGGGTGGAGGCTTCTGGTCGGTGATGTCGGGACAGTGACCCTGTTCCTGCCCTGAGAGACGGGGTGGAGGCTCCTGGTCAGTGATGTCACTGGGCTGTTGCATTAGCGTGAGGTGTGGCTGCATAGAGGAAAATGTAACTGTCACCTAGAGCAAGAGGCCTGGGACTGGCACTGGGGACCCAGGCCCTGTCCCTCTGCTCTACCAGTCACACGTGTCCATGTGACCCCAGGCAGCACTCCTCCTGTCCGAGTCAGTTTCTTTAAGGGACCCTTCCAGAAGTCTACACAGCATGTCCACACCTCACTGCCCAGGACCTGGCTGTGTGGCCATGCCTAGCCACAAGGACACGTGTCATGTTCACAGTCTGTTGCTTCCCCAGATCAGATTAAGGGCTGCTGCAAAAGGAGACAGGGAGTGGGGACTGGACGTGGCTTCCTCCTCCTGTCTGGCCCTTGGCATTTTGGTAGGTGGGCCTGGAGGTTGGAGGACGAGGGGACAGGTGAGGCAGAGAGGACAGGTGAGGTAGCCCGGGTCCTGTGTGAGGCGCCCTGAGTCCCGTGTGAGGTGGCCCGGGTCCTGCGTGGGGTGCGACGCGGAGAGCAGTTGGTGATCAGTCTGATCGTGTCTATCCTACCTCCTCCCCTGCCTCCAAGAAAACAAGCCATGCCCAGGGTCCCTTTTCTCCCCTGGGGGGATGTTTGCTCTGCTTTTTGGGTAGTCTTCTAGCCCTTTCTGTTTTTAAGTTTGTGTTTTGAAAGTTGGACTTGGACAAGCAGCACCATGTTCCCTGCACCCAGCCTGCCCTGGCGTCACCGCCCTGTGTAGCCAGGGTCTAAGGTCGAAGGTGGGACCACCACGGGCCGCTGGTCAGTGCCGCCACTCTCCCTGGTGGGTGTGCTGCCCGGCCCGCACCCGTCCTTGTCCACAGCTTGCCGAAGCTCTCCTCTCTCCCCACAGTGTTCTCACGTGGCCTGAAGAAGTCGTCCCAGGAGCTTTACGGCCTCATCTGCTACGGCGAGCTGCGCAAGAAGATCGGGGGCTGTGAGTACACGCCACTTGTGGGCTGGAGGGCCTTCCCTCCATGGGGATGGAGCCACGTGTCGTCCTGGTGGCCCGCCATGGCTGGCACCCAGACCTCTCGTTTTCCTCTAAGTTTTTGCCTTGAGGATATTCTAATCCATAAATGATAACGCAGCCTGTGACGAGCAGCACACGCCCTCTACCCCACCATGCTGCTGGCGGTCCACCACGTTTGCACGTGCAGATGCGTCTGCAGGCGCGCACACTCTTTTCCTGCTTGTACGTGTGTGCCTCACACCCCTCAGCCCATGTTTCTGAGAATAAGAAGGTTGTAGATAGCCACATCTCCGAGACACTTAAACTCACTGCCGTTGAGTCGATCCTGACTCATAGCGACCCCTCCTTGCGTTTCCGAGGCGGTACCTCTGTGGAGGTCAATTGCCTGGTCTTCCTTCCCAGGAGTGGCTGGGTTTGAACCACCAGCCTTCTGGTTAGCTGTCAGATGTCTTAGGCACTGTGCCACCAGAGCTCCCCTGAGACACTTGGTGTTCTTGTTACCTAGTACCGCTCTGACAAGAGTATACCACAAAATGGGATGGCCTTGACAAACAGGACTTTATTCTCTTACAGTTTGGAGGCTTTAAGTCTAAGTTCAAAGTGCCAGGCTCTAGGGACTGGGTGAAAGCCCCTCGACCTTGGGCTTCAGCTCTGCCTCCAGAAGCCAGAGGCTTTTCTTCACTCAGACAGCTGCTGGCTGCTGAGGCTGCCAAGCTCAGGGTTGACGAGTAAAAAGGCACAGTTACGATGTTACCAAACCACAGAGAGGCCATTAATTCAAGTCCATTGTAAGTCCCAAGGTCAGCAGAGCATGGCAGGCTGCTGAACAACGACATGGCTACGTGCAGGGTTTGAGGTGCCATAAGCTAGAGACTCTCCCCAAGGCTTCTCCTTAAATACAGGAAGCAGACCACATCCCAAAGGCAGCTACTCCGCTGCTTGTGGTAGATCCCACCGTGGAGTTGATTGCCAGTCTCCTCATGGGGAATAACTACCACCAGCTGCCCAGCCACTCAATCAGACCCAGCTAAGTTGACATACAAACTGAACTACCACACTCGGTGTGTATAAATCTATGCAGTAATCTTACTTGATACTCCATGTGTGTTCAAGACAGGTTCCATGGCCAGGACCCTGCCCCGGGCAATCCTGAGGCCTCTACAAGCCCCCGTGTGCTGTCTTGCATGGTATCCAGGCTCTGGATTACCTGGGCCTGTTTTTTAGTTTTTATTGTGATTTGGGTGGAAGTTTACAGAGTAAATTCACTTTCTATACAGCAGCTCACATACACTTTGTCTCATGACCTTGACTACAATTTACCCCAATGCAACAGCTCCCCTCCCACTTCCTCCCGATAGTTACCTCTTCCCCTGTGTCCATCCCTCCATGCCCTCCTGCCCCCTGAGCTGTCTCCCTGTGCATAGGCAGTCCTTCTTTCTCAATGATTGCTCTCTCCAAGGATTGTATCTACCTCAGGTAAATGTTCAACTCATATGCCTGTCTTTTGTTTGGCTGGAAGCCACAGGTGTGGGTTCAATTCCAGATCTGTAGGGCAGCTAGGGGCCATAGGCTCAGGGGTTCCATCAGTTGGGCCTGTGTTTTGTAATGGTTCCTCACCTCAGATTTGCCCAGACGGGTCCTGCTTGATTCTGTGTCCTGTAAAGACGTTGGCTCAGCCCCGTGAGGGAAAGTGACAGTCTTCTGCTGGCTGGGCAGCCAGACACTGAGGCAGCCACATGGCTTCCTAGGCCTCAGCTCTGTCTGCTGGGCGCTGTGAGGGCACACACCCCATAGGACCCTTACGGAGGTGAAATAAGTCACTTCACATACAAGATGTCCTTGCTCTCAAGATTCCTCCCCTGGAGTAGGCGGTCGGCCGAGAGGTGTCGCAGGGAGTCCTCACACTCGAGGTTCCCCCCGGAGCGGGCGGCTGGCCGAGAGGTGCCCAGGCAGACAGAGAGCAGGGAGGGAGCTGGCATACGCCCACACTGCGTGTCCTGTATTCCGTCCCTGGGTGGTGCAGTTGCTCTGTGCTGTGCTGCTGACTGAAAGGTTCGGACCCACCTGGTGGCTCCTTGGAAGAAAGACCCGGCGATTGGCTTCCATTCAGTTACTGCCAGGAGAGCCCTCCTGAGCACAGCTCTCGGTAGCACGTGGGGTCGCCACGAACCGGGACTGACTCCACAGCAGCAGGCTGGGTTTTGGTCTTTGGTCTGTGCCCGGCCTGGTTCCAGTCACCTGCCTGTGTGGTCTCTCAACCCCAGAGTAAGGGGCATGGTGTGAACAGGGTACGGTGGGCGCCCACGGGGAGGGAGGCCTTCTGAATAGGCAGGTGGGATGTACGAGGTCTGGGAGAGACAGGTTGCTGTTGTGGAGGTTCTCTGCTGGACCCCAGGAGGCAGGTTTGCACGTGACACTGGTGAGTGGAGGTGTGTGCGCAGACGGGGGACAGCAGGGGTGCCTTCTGGGCCAGTCGCCACCTCCTTTCCACTCTGGGGGTGAGGCCGTGCACACACCGGGGGTTTATTCTTGACCTTCACCAGCTCACGGAGGGGTTTGCTTCCTGCAGTGAAATCGCCGTATGGGGGCCGTTAACGGGTTTCCCTCCCTGTGTCACCGTCTCACTTGTCTCTCTCTCTACTTGAAGGCATGGACGACAAGAATGCCACGAAGCTCAACGAGCTCATCCAGGCCGGGTGAGTCGGGTTTCCTCGGACACGTCGTGGGGGCTTGCCCGCTGGACAAGCGGCTCCTCTGAGTTACGGGGCAGCCCCGCTCCGCCCGGGGCCCGTCTGCTTGTTCTGTGACTGCCGACTGTTGCGCGGTGCGGCCCCAGGCCTCTCCTCCTTCACCTTCACTCCCGTGCGCATCACCGTGTGGCCCACCTTTCCCTTCTGGAAGGCGCTCTTGGTTCTTGCCCGTCCCCTGATGCTGCTTCTAAGCGTCTCCTCACGGCGGGTCCCGCCTCCTCTGCCCACCCCCCCTCTTGCACCCCCTGGCTCTCAGGGCCCCAGAGGCGAGCCTGGGTCCTGATTCTGTTCTGTTGTCATGAGGATTGTGGGAGGGGTTTCCTGACGCCCCATGTCTAATGTGAGGGCTGGGGGGTGCCTGATGCCCCATGCTTGACGTGAGGGCCGTGAGAGGAGGTTCCTGCCTTCCCATGCCTGATGTGGGGGCCCCGACTCCCCACACCCAATGTGAGGGCTGTGGGAGGGGGTGCCTGACACCCCACGTCTCACGTGAGGGCTGGGGGTTGCCCAACGCTCCATGCCGATGTGAGGGCCATGGGATGGGGGACCCGACTCCCCACACCTGATGTGAGGGCCACAGGAGGAGGTTCCCACCTCCCCATGTCTAATGTGGGGGCCCTGACTCCCCATACCCGATGTGAGGGCCACAGGAGAAGGTTCCCACCTCCCCATGTCTAATGTGGGGGGCCCGACTCCCCACACCCGATGTGAGGGCTGTGGGAGGTGGTGCCTGCCTCCCCACGCCTGATGTGAGGGTCGTGGGATGGAGGGGCCTGACTCTCCATGCTCCGTGTCAGGACCGTTGGAGGGGGAATGTGACATCCCATGCCTCGTGTAAGGGCAGTGGGAGGTGGTGCAAGACACCCCATTCCTCATGTGTGGGCTGCGCGTGGCCGTCTCCCTCCACAGAGCACTATGTGGAAGAGGGAAAAAGCAACTTCCCTGTGGGGAAGTCTGACAGGCACCATCTTAGATAGAATTCAAGGTCAACGTCAGCTGGGATAAGTCATGGTGACAGCAGGCAGCTCTCATGAGATGGGATAAGGAGGCACTTCATCTCTGTGGTCGTGCTCCCCAAACCCATGTTGTTGTGTGTTCTTGAGTGGATCGGGCGTCCAGTGGTCCCATGCGACAGGGAACTCCCCATGAGGTTCTCTTGGCTGTGACCTTGATCAAGCGAATCACCAGGTCTCTGTGCCATGGAGCTACTGGGTGGGTTTGAACTGCCAGCTCTTCAGTTAGCAGCCGAGTGCTTAGCAGTGGCACCGTCAGGCTTCTTCCAGAAGCTCTGTGTGATCATCAGGAGCTGTCAGATGAATCCCAGCTGAGGGAGAGCCTACAAGTACCTGAGCAGGGCTCCTGGAAGCCATGACGGTCAAGAGGAGGCGAGTGGGAGCCACTGTCGCGGGCTCTTGGAGCCTCAGGAGATGCGTCCTGGGCGGGTCCGGAACAGAAAGCTGTTGGGGTGATGGGCGAGTGAGCCGGGTCACGTGCGGACGGTGCTGTCATGCATCCGTGCTGGGTCCCCCGCGGTGATGGAGCCTCCACTCCGATGGACGAGTTGGCAGGCAGGCATGCCGGGGCACAGCGTGGGCACTGTCTTCACAGCTCTGTTACTCTTCTGCCCGTCTGACGTGATGCCATGTCAAATTTATTTTATCTCTGAATGAAATCACTGAAGTAAAACCCTTGTTTAGGGTCTAGCCAAGACTGGTGGACTATGGTGGTCCTGGGCAGGCAGCAAGATTTGAAATCCAGGAAGAGGGGTGATGATGGAGCCCTGTTTATCTGCAGACAGCATGATTGTCATATAACTATAACAAGTGCAGAGAAAAAACCCGTCCACGTCCTCCATGCCCACCGCCCAGCGTGTCTGTAGGGTACCTACTGGATCCAGAGGTAGAAGACGGCCACCTCCCTGGAGCCCCCTCACCACCTCTGCTCACACCCACCTTCAGCCCCATGTGAGGAAGACCAGCTGGCTCTTAGATTATGTTTGCAGGATCGTGACCCTAATGTCTGGAAGAGCAGATGTGTGTAAACAACAGAGCTAGACAGAGTGGAGGCGTGGGAGGCTGGCTGACCTGGGTTTGGGGCGGTGACGCTGCCAGAATGGGGAGTGGGTGTGAGCACAGCCGGAGTGGAGGAGTGGGTGTGAGCCTGGTGTGGTTGTTGGCACTGAGGAGGGACATGGTGTAAAGCTGAGGCTGGGGGCTCAGGGCAGGCCCAGCACTGCAGGACAGACTTGAGACCGGGATATCAGGGTGGGCGTCACGCTGTCCCAGGAAGCTGGTGAAGGTGTTGAGCAGTGTTGATGATGTGGGGAGGACAGGGTGTACAGGGCTGCGAGGAGGCTGAAGGATACAGCCGTCTGGTTTAGTGTTTTAATTGACATAAATCAAAGCCTACCTTGTGTTTAACTTTTTACCGTGATCCGGATGGACGATTACGGAGCAGGTTGATTTTCCGTTCGGCGATGTGTGGTGATGAGAAACCACAGTGTGATTTCTGGCACTGACTGCACCTCACAGTGTCGCGGCCTCGTCCCACTTCCTCGATTCCTGTTTCCGTCTGTCCTTCTTTCCTGTCCCTTCCTGCCTTCTGAGCTTCCTCCCGGGACAGATGGTTCCATCTGGTTGATTGTTGTAAGGCATGTGGACCTCTCTGGTGTTGCTGTTCATTTTGTAGGCCTGTTGTTTGTCTGAAAGTTGAACCACAGGGGTGAGTAGGGGTCCAGGCCCGAAGGGTGTCTAAGGGCCACAGTCTCAGGGCTAAGTGCACTTCCTGGCCTACAGTTGTGTGGCTTAACACGTGTGCGGCGCTGTGTGATCTCAACCGTGGTTGGGACACGGAGCTGCCCGTCAACCCCTTTGTGGGCACCCTCTCCCCACGCCCCGCACTGGCAGCCCCCAGCTGGTCTCCATTCTCTGTCCTGACTTTTCCAGCATGTTCTGTGAAAAAGATCCTTGTGGCCTTCTGCCATGGGTGTCTTCCACTCAGTGGCCTGTGTATGGGACCCACCGTGCTGTTCCCTGCGGTTGCAGGGTGGAGACGTACCACAGTTCGTCCACTGGAAGGACACTGGCATGGGGCCTGGTTGTTAACAGTCGTGCACAGACCACTGTAGGCGTCTGCCTCCACCTTTTTGTGGACGTAGGTTTTCGCTGCACCTTTATCATTACCCAGGCGGTGGCGATAGGTGTACTTGACGAGGACTGCCGGCTGCTTCCGTGCTGAGTGTGTTGCTTCCTGGCCTCAGCGGCCCTGGTGCCTTCGGTTTGATGTTTCAGCCTTTCTGCGAGGTCTGAGGGAGGGGCCGTCTCACTGTGGCTCTGACTGGCGTTTCCCCAGAGACGTTGAGCATCTTGCTCATGTTGACCTGTCATCTCTGGCAAAGGGTCTCTTCCAGTCTTGTGCCTGCTGGGAACGTCCTTCTACGTTCTGGGTACGAGTCCCTCGTGACATGTTGCTGGCAGGTCTTTTCTCCCGGTCTGTGGCGTCCTTCCGTTCCCTTCATGGCGTCCCTCAGAGCGCAGGCGTTTCCAGCTTTGCTGAAGGCCACTTGGTCCGTTTTCCCTTCTCTGGACTGTGCCTCCAGTGCTCGGCTGTGAAACCTTTACCCAGGGTCACAAAGATGGTGTGCTGCTTTGTCAAGGTTTGATGGCTCCAGCTTTGGCATCTAGAGCCATGCCCGTTCTAGCTGGACCTTTGCGTGCAGTGGGACGTGTGTGTGTAGTTTGGGGTTGACGTCTGCGTGCAGTGTAACCTGTGAGGGGAGTTTTGGGTTGACTTGTGTGCATGGTGGACTGTGGGAGGGGGAGATTGGGGTTGACGTTTGCGTGCGGTGTAGCCTGTGAGGGGAGTTTTAGGTTGACTTGTGCGCATGGTGGACTGTGAAGGGGAGTTTGGGGTTGACGTCTGCATGCAGTGTAGCCTGTGAGGGGAGTTTGGGGTGAACTTGCTTGCGGTGTAGTGTGTAGGTCAAGTGTCCTTTTGGTGCCTCTGGGTGTCTCATTGCTGCAGTTCCAGTTACTGGGGAGGCTGCCCTTCCCACTTTGAGATGCTTTCCACCTCCCTAGAGACCCCTGGCCTCTCTGCTCCGTTACCTATGGCCAGTTTTTCACCAGCATCTTTTAGTTTTCAACAGCAACGCGATAGACTCTTGAACAAAAGGAGGTCAGAAAGGTGCCGGGGAAAGACCCCTTGATCCAAGACCAGAAGTGTTGCTATATATGTCCCTTTGTTCCTGTCCATGGTTCAGTTGACGGCCTGTGTCAGTTAACCCTGAACCTCTTTGGGTTTCAGAACTGTGGTTTGAAATGAAGGATTCATTGGATTGGGAAGGTTTTGAAATGAACTGTCACCACACTGGTCTTGGACCCAGAACATAAGCACGTCTGTCAGGTGGATCAAATCCATGGCAGAGAGAAGGCTCCGTGCCCAGACGGGAGTGGCTGTGCTGTCCGTTTTGCGGGGATGCTTGGGGGGGTAGAGGCAGCCTGGTGGGTGGTGTCCCATCTGAGCATATGTTGACCCTCCGCAAATAGTCCGTCCTGAGCTCTGTGCTCCTGGGGAAGGCCTGCCCTGGCTCCTCCGCCATCTCCCAGTTGCTCAGCTGTGGGGCAGTGCAGGGGTGGGGAGGGCTGACGTTCTCCGGGACGGGACCGGCCACAGAGTCCCTCTTCACTTAACTTGGCTCTTCGTGCCGAGCGCTTCCGTTTGGGGCGGCCGCAGCCCTCCTGTCCGAGAGGAAAGGACAGACAGCATAGTCTCGGGGTGGTTACCTGGTAACCAGAGCATCTGCTCAACATCACGTGAGAAAGGACGAAGTCACAACAACAGTAGTTTAACAGAAGACGTCATTGTGTCAGATGCAGGAGCTGCGGTACCGGCTCCGTGGCTCCGGGAGTTGGACGTAGAGGCCACGTGACCGGCTCCGTGGCTCCAGGAGTCGGACGCGGGGCCGCGTGACCGGCTCCGTGGCTCCGGGAGTCGGACGCGGGGCCACGTGACTGGCTCCGTGGCTCCGGGAGTCGGACGTGGGGCCGCGTGACTGGCTCCGTCGCTGTGGGAGTCCGGCTGCTGTCGCCTTTGGGGGCAGATGGAACAACGGTGCTGAGCAGGGAGGCTTCTGTCTCTAGAGCAGCTTAGTGCCGGAGGCTGTCAGGGAATCCCCTCTGTGCTGCTTCAGTCCTGCCGGCGGCCCCTGCAGCCCCGTCCCCAGGGCCCTCAGTGCGGTAGCTGCAGCACTTGCAATCTGCCCCCCCGGGTGGCAGTTAAGCTGCAGAGATGTGGGCCGGTGCCTCACGGACTGGATTGTGCACAGACCCGCACCCGCCTCACTCCTCTAGGCAGAGAAGGGACGGCATTCACCTGGGGCGTTTCTTGCCTCTTGGGCTGGGATTTAGGCATCTCAGCTCTGCTTCTTGGTGTCCTGTGTTTGATTCCCAGCACAGAAGGAGCTCAGTCAGCCCTTGGCTGGGTGGAAAGGTGGGTGGGTGGATAAGTGAGTAGATGACTGGAAGGGTGAGTGAGTGGATGGGGGATGGATGGGGGATGGATGGGGGGGGGTGGATGGGGGTGAATGGGTGGGTGGATAGGGGGTAGATCAGTGGATGGATGGATGGGTAGTTGGGCAGATGGTGGATGGGTGGGTAGTTAGGCGGATGATGGATGGACAGATGGATGAAAAGATACGTCAATAGATGGATGGGTGGATGGGTACTTAGGTGGATGGGCAGATGGATGAATGGACACATCAGTAGAGGGATGAGTGAATCGGTAGATGGGTAGTTAGGCGGATGATGGATGAGTGGATAGATGGATGCCTTCCATTCCATTTAAAACGATTGTCATTCTGGTCTTCAGTTCTACACAGCGTGTTTTTGGAATTACAATTACACGTTACGTATAAATGCATTCTTGAAAAAGTAGAAAGGACATGCGGTTTGGTGCCTGCTGACCAGTCTTCCTGAGATGGGAGAGTTCTGTGCTTCCAACGTCCTGGTGTTTGACTGGGCTGGTTGAGGGTGTCTGCCAGGGGCTCTGAGGGGGAGGCACAGATCAGTGGGTTGACTGAGAAGAGCTTCGCCAAGAAAAGAGGGCAGTGGCTGTGCTGGGGCTTCTGCGGTGGGACCCGGGTGGGAGGCTAGGTCACGGTCCTTGCAAACGCAGGACTCCCTCGGGGGAGCGCTCAGGAAAGTCGTGGGACGTAGTTACTACGCTGTACCTGTCACACACATCCTGCACTGTCCGTGCCCTCAGACAGCCCGCAAGGCGCTGGGGCGTTCTATGGGGATGGTGCAGAGGCCATGCTGGGAGGTCTGAGTGGGTGCTCAGAGACCGGGGTGGGCACTCGGCCGCGGTCCTTCCCGTCTACCCGCCCATTTCGGCTTTCTGCGTGGAGTCCAGCAGAAGGCACCACGCAGCCGCAGGCCTGATGCACCCTCACTGCCCTCTCTGCAGGGCCACCACAGTGCGCTACAAAGGCAGGAACTTGCGGATCAAGGCACCCATGTGTCGAGCCCTGAAGAAGCTCTGTGACCCTGACGGTAGGCCGGATGTGTTGGGGGTGGGACACGTCACCCTGTCCGTGTGCCGTTGGGCCTGCTCCTGAGAGCACCCACGGTCTCCCCGCCCGCACAGGCCTGAGCGACGAGGAGGACCAGAAGCCGGTGCGCCTGCCCCTGAAGGTGCCCGTGGAGCTGCAGCCGCGGAACAACCACGCCTGGGCCCGTGTGCAGAGCCTCGCCCAGAACCCACGGCTCAGGTGACTGCCGTGCCGCGGGGGCTGGGCCTGGGGTCCCCTGGAGAGCGAGTGCCGCGTCCTGCGTGTGCCGTGGCACCTGAGGCAGGGCGTCGGGCCCCGGGAGCAGGGAGGACATGCTGGCCGAGGGCCCGGTGGCTGCTGACGCGTCGTCCACGTGAGGCCTCACCCCTCCCTGGGCACTTGGCCCCTGGGGGGGCTGGAGCCCTGGCGCTGCCGTGTGCTCCCCGGGGGGGCTGGCAGAGGGCACGCAGACGCTCTCCTGCTTCCCACTGTCCATGTCAGCAGAAGGGGCCGCGTGACGGAGAGCCAGAGGGGCCCCAGCTGGCCCAGCCCTCCCAGGCCCCTCCTCGGAGTGTCTCCTCCCTCCGGGCTGACGGCGCTGTCTTCTCCCTCAGGATGATCGTGGAGCTGCACCGCAAGGTCTCCAGCCTCATTGAGTTCCTGAAACAGAAGTGGGCGCTGCATGAAGTGCGTGTTGTATCCTTTCAGAGGGGGGCGGGGCAGGCGCAGCAGCCGCACTGGGCCGTGGTGCAGGGTCGAGGCACGGGGCCCTGTCCTTTGGGCTTTGGGGGTCAAGCCTTTCTTCCTCGCAGCCTCCCCTCTGAACACTGAGCAGGTGGCCACGAGGCTCGCCCGGCCGTCCCTGTGACCCCAAATGGCTCTGGGCCCACCGGTCCCCAGCAGGTGTGACAGGTGTCAGGGTGCATTTCTTTTTTTTATTAGGATTTGGGTGAAGATTTACAGAGTAAATTCACTTTTCATACAGCAGTTCACATATACTTTGTCTCATGTCATTGACCAAAAT